CTGGCATGGTTCTTGGCACACTGTTACATGACTGAGGCTAAGATTAGTTCATGCTGTTGCTTCATTTATATGTTGTTTCTGAATTGGTTCAATGGGCTTCTTTCAGTAATTTTCAAATAACCTATTTTATCATCCCTAGCCCACCTATTATATGAAAAAAAAATTATAACATGGGCATTTTCCAAAAAGAAAGAAAGAAAAAAGTATGTAGATAGATGCAAATCTAGATACAAATCTATCTATATCTATGTCTATATCTATCTATATCTATATCTATATCTATATCTATATCTATATCTATATCTATATCTATCTATCCATCTATCCATCCATCCATGCATTGGATGAACAGAGAAAAGGTTAAAGTTAGAAATCAAGAGGTACTTGTTCACACACTTTTTCTTGGGATGGGTGTGGTTTATGGAGAGTGCTACAGAAGATGTCCTTAGGTTCAGTTGCTTGTTACTCTATCCTATCCATTTGAATCAGGGGGATAAAGTTGGACCTTAATATGTCAACATAAATAATCAAAAACAATGTGATCTAACCACAGAAGCTGAGGCTTATGTTTTATTTTTACCCACTTGACCCAGCTGAACTATTCTAGACTAGACCAGCTTTTTCTGACCAATACTGTATAAGTAGAATTTTCAAGTACACTGAAAATTTGAAATAATTATACAGTGGACATCCATATATACTTACTGCCTAGATTCTACATATGTTATATTTTGCTTTGTTTGTACTATGGACTGAATGTGTGTATTCTCCCAAAATTATATGTTGAAGTGTTGAAGCCCTAATCCCCAACGTGATGGTATTTAGATATGTGACCTTTGGGAGGTAATTAGGTCATGAGGGTGGATCTCTCTTGAATGAGATTAATGCTCTCATAAGAAGATATGAGACATGATTTCTCTATCTCTGTCTGTATGCAAAGCAGGAAGAGGGTTCTCAGTAGGAACCAAATCAGCTGGACTTTGATCTTGAACTTCCCAGCCTCCAGAACTGTGAGAAGTAAGTTTCAGTGAAGCCACTTAGTCTATGACATTTTTGTTGTAGTAGCCCAAGCTCAGACCATTTTCTTTCTTACATACCTGCTTATCTATCTACCCATCAATCCATTCTAGCTGTGTTCATCATTATTCTTCACCCATAAACATTTCAGCACGTATTTAATTAACCAGAGTTCAATATTTTATGGTTCTTTGTTATTTTAAGGAAAAATTAACACACAGTGAAATGCACAAAGCCTAGTTCCATTCAGTAAGTTTTGACAAATGCAAACACCCATTTAACTCATACTCCCATCAAAATATAGAACATGTCCATCACTCAAAATACTCTTTCATGTCTGTGTCCAGTTCATCTTGACACCAATACCAATCCTAAGGCAACTATTCTTCTGCTCATTTTCAGTATAGATGAGTTTTTGCCTATCTTAGAACTTCCTAAAAATGGAGTCATGTAGTAGGTACTCAGTATGTTTTTGAGATCCCATGTTAATTTCATTCTTTTTTAGTTGTTGAATAGTATTCCATTATATAAACATATCTTAATTTGTTTATTCATTCATATGAACATGAGGACTCTTGCAGTTTTTGCCATGGTGAATAAATCTGCTCTGAACATTCTTGTGCAGGTCTTTTCTTCTTCTTCTTAACATATGGGTAAATGTCTAAAAATAGAACTGCTGGATTTAGTGCAAGTTTAGTTGTGTAAGAAACTGCCAGGCCTTTTCCCAAAGTAGTTGTTCCATTCCCACCAAGAATGTATTCTCCACATCCTCACCAACACTTGGTGGAATCAGCCTTACTTCTAACCATTCTGGCACATGTCATAGAGACTCATACCTAAGAATGCTCTCAGCAGCTTCTGCTTATCAGCAAAACCTGACTCTCGCTGAACCCTCTCCTTCAAGGATTTATCTCAGAGGTTTGAGAAGGAGGGCTTACATTTCAGTGGTTTATTTCTTCTAGGGCCCTAGTAGTGAAGAGGAATTTCATCCACTATCTGCCCACTTTTCCTCTATCTTGCTTAGGAAGAAAAGTTTAAAACATCCTAACAGTCATCCAACTGGATCAGGTTGGCAAGTTCAAAATTATCTTTTGTTTCATGATATATTTTGAAGCAAAAGATTCTCACTTGTAAATCTCAGCCTTTCTCACAGTTTCTAGAAATATTTAGAAACTTTGATATTCTAAAGAAGAAAAGTTCCCAATATTTAGGCTCAACCTATTCTCCTTTAGGCTTCTCTAAGGACCATTCTTCAATTTTCAGAGCTAGTCTGTAAAGCAGGATTGGTGTCCCCTCTTTACAGAAGAGGAAACTGTCCCAGAGCCCCAGAGGGTTTTACAACCCTCACACAAGTGTTACCACACATGTCTCTACCCTGGCAGGCAGTTCCTTGTGGCAGCCTCTGATGCAGGCTCTGGTGGCACCTCTTGCCCTCTGTCCACTTCATGGGGACAGTGCACTTGGCAGTTTCCCTCAGCCACCCATCACTCCCAGGCTCATTCATCCCCCAGCTTGCATCCTCTCTTCTCCCCCTTTCTTCTAACTCTGCTCAGTTATCTCATAAAATTCTTGTTCTGTCTCTTATTTTCTTCCATATGGGAACTAAAAATGTATCCTAAGCTTGCCTGATGACTGCCAAAGTAGTGCTAGTGGCATAATAAAGTGAGACATAATGAAGAACAAATGCCATCAACATCTAAAGCCCTTGAAAATACCACGAGATCCCTTTTACAATCTCCACAAAGGAACCTTCTACTTTCTCAGCCCCTCCTGAATAAACGGGTTTTTCCTCAAGTACCAGACTCTACATAAACAAAAAACTGTTGTCTTCACTACTAGGCTTCTGTTTTAATGAACAGCATCACAGCAACATTGTTTTCTATTACTCTGGTTGCAAAGATACAGCATGTCAGTTAGGGCTTAAATTAAATTGCAACATTATGTCTACAAAAAAATCATGTAGCAAATGCCAAACTGACTTAAACTTCTGGAATAAAATCAATTTCTAAATTAGGACTTGCCTTTTTTTTCTTATTCAGTTTTAAATATTTGTTACAAGAATTTCCTCTTTGGCATGTTTTCTCTTATATAGAAATGTATAATGATACAATAGTACCATCCTCAACATCACAGCTTTCTATGTAGTATTTCTACCTAGAAAGTATATATGATTATAATTCCATTTTACAGACGAGGAAGCTGAGATTTAGTAAAGTTTAATAATTCCCATCTAGTAAGTGGCAGAGCCTGAATTCACACCTTAGCTTATTAGCCTTCAGCTCATGCTTTCTTAGCCACCATATTACCACCCAGCACACAGATTAAAACTTCCCAGCATGGAATGGAATAGGTCATGACTGTGTGATTCACCTCCATATCATTCTTTGCCACACCACCATGTTCTACCCAAAGAATTACACAGATCTCAACACATTTCAGGAGGATAGGAGAAAAGTGGCAAAAGCTCTAACGGAAAAGCAGCAAATAGAGGTCTTTAATAAGTCCAGAGCTATTTTTAAAAACAAGGCTGTATCTAACAAAGAGACTAGCTGTGTGATTAATAATCAGCACCTATGATGCATTTAAATAGCTCTCACGTGGCTATGAGCATCAACCCAGAACATTGCTTATGTACCTGCTCTCTTGTTATCTGGAGAGCTGGGTTTTCCAACTACCTTGCTCTAAGGGTATTCAAATAAATACAGATTGACTAACAAGATACCACTGAACAGAGACTTTGTGGGCTGCAACACAGTTAAAGACTAAGAAAAGAGAGAGCCTGGATTTGCTATAGAAGCTGACACTTTTCTACTAGCATGGCTGGCTCTTCACCTGATGCTGACATGTGAGGCCAGAGACCATTAACTCCTTTAGCCTACCACGTTGTTACCAACTTCATCCTTATTTCAGTAACATTCTGGTCCCTGGGGTGGATAGGCTCACTTGCCCTCTACTCTACCCCTTCTAGTTTACTTTCTGGGCTTAAAAGGTTGGAAATTCAACAACATTTTTCAGACTCCCTTGCAGCTAGAACTCCAGGTACAAATTAGGTTCCTCTCATTATATGTATTTGCATGAGATCCAGAATGCAGAAGTGATGCAGAAACCATCTTCCTATCCCCCTTTTAAGCTACTTTTGCTGACAATTATTAAGGACGAGCTAACTTTGAGCAGTATTATTCTGATGCTCAGTCTCTAACTTCTTGGATCCTGATAGGCAGTTGTGGCTGTTTTCAGCAGCAGCATTTTTATTCCAGGTTTCTGAACACAGGACTGCAGCTATGGGAGTACCTTGAGCCTCTCTTTCCAGTGATGATCTCCAAAGTGGTAGCTCTCCTGGTAAGTCAGGTTCATATTACCCCAGATCCTCCTCTTCCACCTCCTCCTCTGTCAGCACCATAACCACTAATATTTCTTATATGCTCACTATGTGTTAGGCATTATGCTAAATGCTTTATGCAAATCGTTTTATTTAAACCTTCTGCCAAAAAACCCATAAGGAAAGTATTATTACCATCCCTTTGTTCCAGATGATTCTACTGAGATTCAGAATTGAGAGTTAAATTGTACTGGGTCAGAGCAAAGCTAATGGGTAAGTGGGTAGATCTGGAATTTGACCCCAGCTCTGCCTCACTCCAAAGCCTAACTCTGCCTATTTAAAATTATTTGTAGGCCTAGAACCTATAAGCAGATTTTAATTGCCCATACATATTATATTGCTGAAAATACATCACTTCCCTTTCACCATATACATGCAGAGGCCAGCCTATTTTGCATGGAGATACATCCAGGTATTGAAGAAGCCTTCAATCTAATTAGAAAGGCATTTTAATATTCATTCAGAGGTATCACTTTGTAAAAACGTGTCTAAGTCATACCAAGATCATTTCTTTATAAAAGTTAAAGAATTAAGACCAAAGCAAACACAGCCTTCTACTTGCCCCTGGTAGGCCCAGAACTGGGGGGTATAGACATGCACTTACCAGGCGCTCTATTCACAGCGAGGTTTCGGAAATGGCTGCCTTTGATCATTTCCACAGATAATCGCCCTGTTGTGGCATTGTATGCCAGCCCCACCAATAGCTCTGGCACCCCTCCATGAGACAGCGACTGCGTGGATGAAGCACTATCACTGTGAGAAACTGCAGATGGGCTCAGCGGAGACTCTCCACTCTGGAGGGGAAGAACAACAAAGAATCCATTGGTCCATGCTGTATGACTCTCTTACAGAAAGCCAATATTATGTGTGGTGAAATTGTGGCGCCATCTCAACTGCTGCCAAAGATTACTAATGGTGCACTTGGTGTGAATGATAATGGGCCTGGGGAGTGCAGGCCTGGATGAGATGCCCTGCATTATTAGCTGACATATTTGCTTCAAGAGCTGTCTCCATTCAACATTTCCTCTCTAAAGACGAAACGGACAGAGATATTATTACTAGTGTAAATCAGACTCTCTCAGATACGTGAAGAGCTAATAATACATTTAATATAGACCAAAAATTCCCTCCTGTGTAATTTGTGCTGAAATGCTTCTATGGAACCCATCCACTCTAGGCAGGAGTTTTGTTTCTGTTCTCTGTAGCTTCTTGATAAATGTAGCAATACAGGAGGCACTTTGTCTTCACTAGAAAAGAAATAGCCACTACCATCTACCGTCACATAGAACATTTGGCCTCTAGTTCTGCTTCATAGGGTTGTCAGGAATATGCCAGACGCTACATTTCCCCCCCCCCCGGTGAAATGAACTACATTGAAAATGGGCACTTTTATGACTGTTTGGCAAAAAAAAAAAAAAAAAAAAAAAAAAAGTGCCCATGTGTGGACTATAGATCTCAGAGAACTTGCATGCACCAGGTGAGCCTAGGAGACAGACTGTCTTCTGTCCTGTTTATTTACACGCTTGCTTCTCCAAAGTACCCAGACATGTTGGAAGGAGGAGAGCAAAGCATGTTGACTCTCATTCGAGAAGTATAGTGGGCAGTGGCTCCATGGGGGCAAGATGACTAGCCTCTCAGAGGCTAACACCACCTCCTCCACCAGAAGCAAGTGCATCAGACTTAGCTCAAACTTTCTTCTCAACATCTGAAATAATTTCCTAAAACTTTTTATCAAAAACTCCAACAAAATAAATACACTAAAAAGGATTAGATATTCTTCACATCTGTAGGAAAAGACCCTGTTTACCAAGCCATGATCCCTGCTATCTAGATAGATGATGACAGTCTAGTAGTGACATATTTGTTTAGTTTAGGGTAAGGATCCCCTGTGCTTCTACAGAAGCATCTACCAAGATACCTATCACTACAAAGCTTGCCTTTCCCATCACGTTTTGAATCCTTATAAATCACTCCATCCAGTGCATAGCCCAATGCCTGGCATATAATCATGATCAACAGATAAATGATGAAGAATTTTTACCTTCAAAGTTCTTTCACACTGGCTCAGCTTCCTACTCAACTCTGTGCCCTTAGGACAAGACCTGGCACAGAGAAATAGGGTTGTGATCATACCTACTCCTATGCCTTATAGTGCAGGATTCTTTCTGACCTCCTCTGGCTTCCATTTTCCAGGGTTTCAGATATACTTTACACAGAGCTTAAGAAAAAAGAGGAATTTAAGCAGATATGAGACATGATCTGGCTTGTATTTTTTGTTTTTTTTAAGATTTTTATTTATTTTAGAGAGGGAGCACTAGTAGGGGAGGGGCAGAGGGAGCAAGAGAATCCTAAGGAGACACCACAGCTGAGAGCAAAGCCTGACCCGGGGCTCCATCCCAGGACCCTGAGACCATGACTGGTGCCAAAATCAAGGGTTGCATGCTTCATGAACTAAGCCACCCAGGTGCTCCTAAAAGTCTCATTTGGGTCCCTGGATTGAGAATAGTCTGTAAGGGACAAATGCAAAAGCAGGAAGACCACTAGGAGGCCATTTGAGTAATCCAGCAGAGTTAGGTTCTGGTTATAGTTTGAAGATAGAGCCAATAGGATTTCAGGTTGACCTGAACAATTAAAAGGATGAAATTTCCTTTAGCCAAGATGGGAAGGCAGCAGGGAGAATAGATTTAGGGAGACAAGTCTGGAGATATTAATTTTGAGACATCTATTAAAAATTTCAGTGGCTGGATCTCCCACTACTACACTCCAGACTTTCTGGCTCCTTTTCTCCCCCTGGACAGGACAAGTTCCTTTCTACTCCTTGATGCCTGCATGTGCCATTCCCTCTGCCTGGAATCCTTGGTTATCCACATGTCATCAGTCTTGACCCCTTGATTTGAGGAGTTCTATGTTTTATTACCACTTCAAAGACACATTCTCTGACTCTTCTAAACCCAGAGCAGTCTCTCTCCCTCTCTCTCCCTTCACGTACCCTGGTTTGCAATTGTTGCCCCTCTTCCACCAGGTTGTAAGCTCTTGAGGGCAGAGGCATCACCCTTTCTGTTCTTTCCTACATCCCCTCTGCCTATACAGTATCTGACATAGCAGCCACTCAGTAAACATTTTTGAATGGATGACTGATTGGCCTAATAGCAAATCAGACAAGATAGCTCCCTGATCTTTCTCATGGTTTTTATAAAGGAGGCCCTCATATTAGATGACACTTAACCCCTAGAAATAGTGGGTTGTCCATTTTGTAGACATATAAGCTATGCTGTCCTTCCTCAAAACCCCAGCAGGAATGCAGAGGATAAGGCACATGGGAGTTGGCCAGTCATATAAATGGAAGGTCCTAGAGGTGGCTGGAGATCAGGGCTGCTGTTGTAGCCCACTCAGAAATACATGTTAAGGAGCTCCCCTTGAATGTCCCATCTCTGAGATTCATCATAATGCATATTAAGAGTGGGGCAAGAGGGAGAGAGTCAGACCACAGGTCAGTTAATCAGCAAGCTAAGACCTCCCCCTACACTTGCTGTCATTTCCAGAAATGGACAGGGAATATATCCATCGGCTTATAAGGAAGATGAGCAGAAAGAAAGAAGAAAAGAAAGAAAGAAAGAAAGAAAGAAAGAAAGAAAGAAAGAAAGAAAGAAAGAAAGAAAGAAAAGAAAAAAGAAAACAAAGAAAAGAAAAAAGAAAACAAAGAAAAGAAAAGAAACCATTGTACCATGAAATGCAAACCATGGCTTACAAGGATGAGGAGAGCCAAATGGAAAATTAAATTAAGGTGTTTGAATTCACAGGCTGAATGTATTAAATCAAGGGCTGACAATTCCAGATCCTTGAACATATCGCATCATTAGCAGCACCATTTAACATACTCACACTGATATTACTTCTTGGCTCCAGAACCAGAGTCACTTTCATTTCCCCTTCTGGGTGCAGGTGGCTGAGATGGAAGAGCTTCTCTCCCATCATTCTCTCACGGGTCATCATGCGGGCAGCATACAGGCGGAAGCGGATAGCATAGGCAGCCACATCTCTGGGCTCCAGCTTAGCAAAGGTGACCTTCTCCTTGAAGACAGGGTTGGGGCCTCTTTGTATGCTTGTCCTGCCCCTCTGTTTCTTACTGGGCAGCAGCACCACATGAACTTGCCAGGAGTTAACACCACTTCGGTCCTTATCTGGGAGGCCCTGTGCTCTCACAATGGTCACCGTGAGCTTCTGGCTGGAAGCTCTATATTCAAAGATGACATCCAGGTCACCACATTTTGAGATGGGCTCCAAGACCCCAGTTGGCACCTGCAAATTGGCCCCACCCTGTTCCTGTTGCAGATAGAGGAAGAGATTAGGAATTGAAATGATAAGGCCCAAATATATTTTGGTGAGATGGTGCCTCTCTGTCCTCCTTTAGAACCTTGCACTTTTTGACCACTGGCATATATCCCTATACATTAGAAGGGTCTGTTTACTGGTCTGTGTCTCCCCTAGACTGTGAATTCTTTAGGGGTACAATGCCTGGCATATGGTGAGCTTCATGAATGCTTTTGGCATGAATGAAGAAAGCTTTTATATTTACGAAGTGTTTTCATATACATGGGCTCTCAAAAAGCACAACTGACCACTATCATGAAACTGAGATACTAAGTCTAAAATTAGTCAACTATGCAACTGCCAAGAAATTACTTTTTCTGGAGTCCCCAGGAGAAATGGTTGATTTTGGGCCTGTGCTCCAAGGGCCAGGAGTTCTACAGATGTGAATCCTAATGGGGCTCATGGACAGGTGATCCTTCAGTAGATTTTCAGCTGCATTGGAGAAAAGGTTTAGAGTAGAACTTCCAAACGTTCAAGTGGACTTGAGTCACTCAGAGTTTCTGATTCCATAGAACTGGGATGGGGCCCGAGACTGCATTTCTTAGGTCATGAGTATTTCAGTGGGCCTCAAACTGCACTTTGAGTATCAAGAGTTTAGGAGGGCATCTGCACCAGCCGCTTAGCAAACAGTGACACTGGTTGTGGAGATAGAACACCTGGATTGAAATCATAACTCTACCATGCACTAGCTTTTTTTAAAAAAATTTAATTTTATTTTTTTTAATAAATTAATTTTTATTGGTGTTCGATTTACCAACATACAGAATAACACCCAGTGCTCATCCCGTCAAGTGTCTCCTTCAGTAGCTTTTTGATTCTGGTCAAATAGACTACCCTCTCTGTGCTCTAGCTGCAAAATTATGATGCCTACTTGATGGAGTGGTGTGGAATCCCAGTTGTATGGAATCAGAATATCTATTCTCATCAATGAACTGAGGCTACCTATTTTCAAACATGGGCCCCTCATTATAAAATAGCACCCTTAGACAACAATTCACCCGTAGCCAGTCAGCTCTGATGACCTCACTGAGAAAACTGAGCTGCACTGTATTATCACAACGAAGTACTCTCCAAAAAACTATAATGTCAACATAGTATGATTTTTTTCTATGAAGGCATGATACTTACTCATAACTAAACTTTGACCTGATTCTTATTGTAAATTGGGATCCATTCTAATTTATGTAATTGAACACCAGTCTTCACTAACTTAAAGACTATTTTTTAAAGTATATAGTGAAAATGTGCATTCATCAACAAAACTTTCCTGCAGAGTTGAGGTGAAAGTGCATGGTTCTCTGGAGTGAGACATACTTGGGAATCCCAGGTCTATCACTTACTCCCTCTATGGCACTGGATAAATTATTTAATCCTTTCCACTCTCGGCTTTCTTCCACAGTAAAATGGGGATGAAATCTACTTATAGAGTTGTTGTGAAAATGAATGGACTTGACACACAGGAGACATGGGATAAATGCCTTCTCTTTTAAAATTCACATTAGTCTACCAAGAAAATTTAGGCTTTTTGCAAAATAAGGAAGCTCCTTATATTCTTTCCTTAGCATGCATTCATGTGAGAGTGTTTCTATTCAGAGGTACTTAGTTTCAAGTGATAAAAGTGGTTGCTATAGAAACTTCTGAATACAACTGACTAGTGTAGATATAATATTAGAAGCAAGTCTCCAAGGAGTTAGGCTAACTCAGAAATCAAGTTGCAGTCTTCTGTCAAAACTCCCATCTATTTTAGCCTACTCTTGATCATCTCTCTATTGGATCTTCTGATCCAAACACGTTGGATCAGAAGTCATGATGGTCAATATCCACTAAGTCCTATCTTACGCCAGGTGCCATACTAAATCCTTTACAGAGTGCAAAAGCCCACTCCTATGCACTTCAAACCTTCTTGGCTTTGCCTTTTGTTACATCTCCCCTACAGGCACAGCCTGTTGGACTCTAAGTAGCTTCAGCATGACACAGCCCAACAAGGTCTCACCTCCTGCCCACATGATTTGACTCTCAACTCCCACCACAGGCCTCTCTGTTGATGTTAAGGCTTGGAAAATTTATAGAGTCCTGCTTGGCATCCACGTATATAAAGTCCAGCTTGTGTGTGAGGTTACTGCCCCATGCAGTAAACCTGTCTCCCCTTGGACGAGTGTCCTGAGATCAGTTAATACAGCTTCTTATAGCATGGTCTCTCAAGATTAAGCCAAGAGTCACACTTAGTAGTAGCCAACTTGATTGCCCATTCTCATACTGGCTCTTTCTTCTTCCCTGCCTCACTCCCCTTTGTCCTTCACTCTTGTTCCAGGGAATGTATATCCTAACAAAATAGACTTTGCTTTTTGGGAAATGCAGCTAGGAAATGTGGTCTTTTAAAATGTTCATATTAACCTAATGAGGTAGAAATTTCAATACCTTCATTTTATGAGGGAGGAAATTTAAGATTCAGAAACTCACTCCCTGCCCCCAACATCATAATGTCCCACCAGGGCTGTACAGGATTTACCAGTAGTAATACTCAAAATCTGAAACCTTATGTCAAGCCATGATGTCTCCCTTCTTCTCCCCAAGCCTCTCGCCATAGCTATTTATATTTGTAGTAAGTGGGTGGGGTGAGGCAGGAGTAAGATGAAAGATGGGAAGACATACTACTTTGAATTTCACATCCTTTTAAGTTCCTGCTCTTAATGATTGTTAACAGTCCCCAGTTTTGTCAGCAGCTTCAATGTCAAGGTAAAAATATTCTGGTCAGTGAGTTTGTGTCCACTTATCTATCAGGCTATCTATTCAGACTAATGCTCACTCTACCTATAGGTCTGTGAAGTCCTTCGAAAGGCTCTAAAACAACCCTCCTCAGAACCCTGCATTAGACAGAGCTGTAGGCCACAGCCAGGCCCTGCACAGGGCCAGTCCAAGCTGTGGCACAGGGAAGCTGGGCTTTGTGGCTCTTTCCTGGGTTGATCTGAAACAAAGATTTGTGAAGGCTGGTACTTTCATAGCAATTAATTATTTCAACACCTGTTACTTATCACCAGGTTCTCCTCATGTGGGTACTGTTAATACCACTAATCCATCTGACCTTCCTGCAAGGTAAAAATCTCTTCATTTTTATCCCCATTTGGCAGATTTTAATTAACTTCTCAAGGCCAACCAGTTAAATCAGTAGAAAACAGAGATGAAAAGTGGGACACCTGCTTCCCTGCATGCTCAGAATCGCCAGCCACCCTCCCATTGTCTTCCCTGCAAAGCCTTGGGTCTGCAGGAAAAAGTCGATGGCCTTTTCCAGCAGAGAGTGGTGCTAAAAAATCCATCAGCCTAACAGGTAGTCATACCACATGACTGGTTTCCTTCTAAGGCAAAACAAAGGATTCTTTTAATTCTAATATCCTGATTTTTCTTTAAGATGGGAATACCTGTAACACTCTGACAAAACCCTTGTAGGTTTAAAGACTTTCTATCAGATTGAAAGCCTCTGTGTTTTAGTAAGATAGCATTGATGTCATCTGTGCGGCCCCAAGTAAAGAGACCTGCAATCTGTTCCTGATGCCAGCTACACAGGGGAAGACGGGGTTCTTAATACAGCTAAGAGGCAAATAAATCAATTCTTAAAAGGCAAGCTAAGCCTGCAAAGCAGGCAGTTACAGGAACTGCCTCCGAGCTGCATCTGAGATTCTACTGTAGGAGCACCAAATTATAGTTTTGTCTCAAAATAGATAGGAGGTTGAATGGAGCACACAGCGATGTCTGGGTATTTTTGGAGTCTGAGAACATTTAGTGCTCTCAACACCAAGTCTTCTATTAAAGCTCCATGAGTCAGGCAGATGGGAGGTTACCTGAAGAAAAGCAATCTCAAGCCTAAGGAAACAGTTATCAAGGGGCAGGTGAACAAGGTTATCAAGGAACAGTTATCAAGGGGCAGTATCAATAGGCAGGTGAACAGTTTTGTTTTGCTTTTGTGGTGAGAAAGCCAAAAAGAATATTTTTAAATGTTAAATGTTATTGTGTGGGATTTTATAGGACTTTGGACAGTAGACCAACTGGGAAGCAGAATTAAAAAAAAAACTTATAAGGTTAATAGCTTTGGGTGTCTCTAGATGCAGGGTTGCTCTTAACAAACCACAAATCATGTATCTGAGTTACTATTTCTTGTCCTCAGCCATAACAGCAACACATGGGCATGTGCACACACACACACACACGTGCACACCTCCTTATGCTCTCTCTACACATCCCACTGCATTAGCAGCTAGGTTTTGGAACATGATTTTCTGTGATTTTTTTTCTCTCTTGATGAGCATTTGGTATGTATGACAGTCTAGATCCTAATAAAAGAGTCCACCTGTTTATTTTCTCAGGCAGACTGATGCTAACAAACCATGCACTTTTCTCCTTCCTCTTGCCCCACAAATTATATTAATATTTTATATACATATATTATGTATTTCATCAAAGTTAATTTCAAAGGAGGCATTAGATATTATTTAACATCTCTTAATGTCACCGAATCATAATAAAAGAGATATAGCTAATAAAGAATAATCATAAATGCCTGTTAGATAATGTTTGCAAATCTTCATCACAGTGCCTGGCACATAGTAACTGCTCAACAAATGGTAGTGTCTATAATAATGACCTCCAATCATACCTCGTGGTGGTTAGGCATACTCTGGAGCAAGTTTTAATTAATTAATAAATTTAGAAGGAGCATCTTTTATCAGAGATTTATTCTAAAAAACAATGTCAATGGCTAGAGGGTCATCACAAACTAACACCATCTCCTAGATCTTGAATTTAATTCAAATCTAACAAAAATACTGCAAGATCTTCATTATAATATCTTGCATCATTTCATTTGGAGAGCCATTTTAGTTTAATTTTCAAATAATTCTTTTATTCAAGTAATTATAACTCAAGATATGGGGCAAATAAAAATAGACTCCACTTAATTGAAAACCATGAAGGAAATAAACCAGTCTTCTCGGAAGAACTAAAAATTCTTTTATATAAACAAGAAGTGTGATTGTTGCTGGCTCCATTCTGCCACCATCCTTTTTTCCCAGTTTGATAGAAATTTATCTCTGATTCTTTTATTGGTACACACAGGGGCTGTGACTTGGTCACCTGAAAAAAATTTATTTCAAATAAAGTTTCTTTACATCTTTGTTTTTCAAGGCAATGCTTCCTTTTTTGGAGAAATCTTTTTCTTGAGGCTTGGGGAGCAAGAGGAAAGTATGAACTCACCAGAGAGCACACAACATTTAAGTATAAAAAGAATGGAAAACAAATAACTTGCCTCTGGACTCCACATGGAGGAGCTGTCAGTAGCATAGGAATCTTCAAATCCCCGGTTATTAAAAGCTGTCTCCAATTCCACGCTGCCTTCTGTGGACTGGCGACGGAGGCCTCGAGGCACATTGGTCTCTTGGGGAGATGCACCATGGTGTCTGCTGTTCCCCACCTCACATGGGGCTTGTGAGTGGGCGGAAATGGGATCATCTTCACCATAGGACAGATTCTCAGAGTAATTCAGCTGGCTGGCTCCATCCAAATCTAAATTTGCAATAAGGAAACTATTTTAAATGTACTATTATTTTACACCTTTTTACCTAGAGAAATTGAGCAGTAGCAACAATACAAATACAAAGACCTCAAAAGCAAAACCCTTCAAATAACACCTGCAGATTATATTATGTGCAGATTATATTATTATATTATATATATTATATTATATAACACCTAGATTATATTATGCAGAAATATAATTCCAGGCCATGTGGTGGATAAACATGGTCTATATAACCAAAAAGACCATTAGTTCATCACATGGGATATAAGGTTTAATACTTTCTAATAATATGAATATGAAGGATGTGTGCTCATGTTAAAAGGTTAAAATAAACACATTAGCGTTTTGTTGAACCTAATGATCACAAGACTTTGGGGATAGATCTAGAAAGCAAGAACAGCAATCTACCACAGAGATCATTTTGTCTCTTGACTCTACCGTTCTTCTTTCTCTCTTCCATGTTCACCATCTTACCTCTCCTTGAAAGGCTTCAGTGGTTCTCACAAGTAAAAAGTTCTTTACTTGATTCATGGAAGAACACTAGACTTGGATTCAGATGATCTAGATTTAAACCCTAGATTTGCATTATGAATTTATGCAGTCTTTGCACTGTCCAAACTTTTGTTTCCTTATCTATAAAATGATGATAAAAGCCATCAGAAAATCATTGTGGACACATGAAAGAATAGCCACCTGGCATCCACTAGGCTTTCCATAAATATTAGCCTTGCTTGCTTGTCTGGCCCAAACTGGCCTCATACAACCCAGTAAACCCCATTTTCTACTGCCTCCCACATTGCTGTCACCTGTGGTCTCATGGGCTCATGGAAACACTAGTTGTGTATTTCTATTCACTGTGGTCCTCAAACCCCCTCTCCTGCCCTTTCCTTCTTGTCTATCCAAAGCCCGACAACTCCCAAATCTTACCTGACTTCTTGGACTCAGTGTTCTTCTCTGACCTTAGTGTTATTCTATTTTCTCTGTTAGCACTCCCTCACTAAGCATCCCCTTCCTCTCCTTTAAAACCTAGATTACCCTCAGACAGTAAAGAAAAACTGCCAGGATCTTCCTAAGCAATAGCTTTTACCCTAAATTTTCTCCCACATCCAAAAAGTAGCCAAGGATGTATTCTCTCTTTAGTCCCCAGTCTCCTCCAGAAGCCACCATTCCAGAATAAGAGAAAATTAGAGATATAGATGGGATGAATGAGTGGGATAACAAAGTATGGATCATGAATTCAGCTCTTATTTATACTGTATGGTAGCAATTGTTTCCACCGTTGGTCTTAAAGCCTCAGCAAGAACAATAGCTCCTTGAAGGTACTAAGCCACATACCTATGCTTTCCAGTCTTTATCCACCAGTAGGTTTCACTATACTCTCAAATAACTTTCAAGGCTAGGAGGGTAACAAATATTTGAAGCAGCCAGGTATGTGGCAGTATGGAGTAGTGGTGACACTGGTTTACCAGAGAGTTTATGACTGTCCTGTAGTAAACATGCAAACTTAAAAATATATATTATCACTCTATGCAGACTATACAAAAACATCTTTAGGCAGACTTTGTACCAGAGTGCAACTTCAGACTCCTGACTTGGGATTTTGCAAAACCGTGGCAATCCACAGGGAATTTCCCCTAACTGCCTTGTTATTCTTAATCATTCACTTCAGGTCCCTTTGGAAACACTTTCATAGGACACCATAACATTTTTACATTCATACACTCTCAGTTATTGGGCAAACACACTTTTAAAAGGCCACAGAAAATGACAGAACAAGGGATATTCCATATGCAAAACCCTACAACATAAAGCAGAATTTTCTTCTAAGGCTCTAATTAGCACATCCATTCCTCATATACATGAACACTAAAATGTCCTATTAAACAGTAGGCTATTCATCAACGTGGGCAGCACCCAGCAGGATTTCAGCACAAAATCTAACTTTGCCAAGAAATTACCCCCATAAAATTGTCTCATGACTTTAACTCCTATGGTGATAATACCTAGATCAGTAATAAGGGAATTTTCAAAAGCTACATTAAGCCTTGAAAAGCTATTCATAACTGAAAAACATAAGAACTATATTAATGTAACAAACCATTTTCCTTGACAGACAAGCGAGGAATGAATTAGAAAAGCAAATCTGGGGTAAAAATCATGAGGAGGAGGAAAAAGAAAGGGGATTCACCATTACATAAAGCAGTTTTCTCATCCTCTAAGTTAAAGAAGATTGTGTCACCTTAAACGCATACAGAAAAGTAACTGCCTGTTTCCAGAGAAAGGCATCCTAGCTTCTTAGAAATTATAGGCCATAATTATGTCACATAAACCATATTTATTTTAGCAGAAAATTTTTGCACTTTTTAATCCATATCCCACTTTGATATGGTATAACACTATTATCCAGTTACTTTATTTTACACCAAACCCTTCCCTCCTACCGCCACCCACAGACACATGCTTTTGCCCACCACCTGCAATGGTCAGTTTTATGTGTCAACATGGCCAAACTATAAGATTCAACTAATCAATCAAACACTAATTTAGGAGATACTGTAGAGGTATTTTGTAGATGTGACTAAAGCCCTTAAGCAGCTGACTTTAAGTAAAGGAGATTATCCTACATAATTAGTCCACTGAGAGTCTTAGGAGAAATGAGGTGTCCCTGGACACAAAGATATTTCACCTATGGATTTCAGAGCTCTGTATTTCTGTTTCCTAGCCAGCTCTAGCAATAGCATAGTTCAATTCTTTGCAATAAATCTCTTGAGATATATATATATATATATATGTATATATATATATATATATATCACTCTAATATCACCTTTTAAAAATTTGTTCTAAGTAAACTCTATCCCAACATGGTGCTTGAACTCATGACCCCAAGATCAAGAGTTGCAAGCTCTATCAAATGAGCCAGCCAGGTGCCCTAGTGTCACCTTGGTATATATAAAATCCTAATAAATACACCATCCCAAACAAAATTGAGCACACATTCCAGGAATAATTGAGGTGTTTTAAATGACACCAGGAGTGTAACGAATAGCTTTTATGAAACATAGCTTTCATGTAGTTCCTAAGAACTACATATTTCACAAGCAAAAATAAGGCTTTGTTCAAAAATAAACGAACAAACAAATAAATGCTTCAATAAGTGGATTACTATTCTGCAGCCCACTTTTCAGACCTAAAGACCTGATATACAGCCTTTGCTCTGGATCACTTAACATAAACCCTCTTTGACATTACTGGGGATGCAGTGACAGTGAATACACAACTATACTAAGTCAGATAAATGAGACAAGAGATAACTTGCCAGGATTACGAAGATAGCATTTGCTTGGTTCTAATTACCTCACCAGTCCATCTAGAATGAAGGATCCCACTTGATGAAACATTAGACAAGCTACCGATACCTCATTCACCGTTCAGATTTTACTTGGATTTGGACCTTTACTTTCACTAGTCCAAAATTTTGAAAGCACTTTTAAAGTGGGAGAATTGTCTACAATTAAATTTTATCTTAGAAAATCATATTTAAATTAGAGTGAAAAAACCTAAGTAGATGGAGGACAGGCAAAAAAAACCACAACTCCTCTCTGGGGTGCATGCTTAACCTCTTTATTGCTGAAAACAAATTCACAGATCTAAAGATGAGCAAAAAGAAATGACAGAGAAAAAATCATGCAATAAAAATTACATTAACATTTCCATGGCATTTGATAACCTAAAATTTAGCATGCAGTTATTCCCTTCTATGAAGATCCTGCTGATTTTCTTCAAAATCTACAGGTAATTTACCCAGTGCAGGGTGCTTTTTCCTCCCTCTGATAGAGAAAGAAATGTGATCTTTCCTATCCCTCTCTGACAAGAATTTCAGAATCACCAGTTATGACTAAAGTTATTGCTAATTCCAGAAAGGAAGGGTGAGGGTTACAATGGTTGTCAGAACTCTCAGAACATGGGCCATTTGTATAAATCAGAAACTAGACATTTGGGCTTCTGGGAAATGGAACCATTAACTTTAGAATACACCGAGCTGCTCCCAGGGAATCAGCTATTAACTTTCATTAGCTAATACTTGCCCTCACAGCGGAGAGGGAGGAAGGCTGTGATGTAACACCACGGAAAGGGACAACAGGAGAGGGGTGAGTGAATGACAGAGGGCTATAGCTATTGATACAATTAGATCATTACTTACCTTGGGCTTAAGGGAATGGCAATAAAATATGTTATGTTGGGCAGCCCCGGTGGCTCAGCGGTTTAGTGCCTCCTTCAGCCTAGGGTGTGATCCTGGAGACCCGGGATCGAGTCCCCACATCAGGCTCCCTGCATGGAACCTGCTTCTCCCTCTACCTTTGTCTCTGCCTCTCTCTCTGTCTCTCATGAATAAATAACTAAAATTTTTTAAAAAATATGTTGGCCCATTTCAATAAGTACAATTACACGACAGCTAATTATTACATTTCTGCTGACAAATAAAGTTCTTCCTGTATGTTCTCTTTTTAAATAATTTTTACTTTGTTCTTTTTTGGGCTGCCTCATCCACCTTGACAAGCCAGACATTTCTTTTCTGTTATCTTCTTTCAATCTTTGGATTCTTCTCTTTCTATTGGGAAGTGTTGAAAAATATGGAAGACCTACAACTATGTCCCCATTAGTTTAACTGACCACATGTCCAAAGGGAGGAAGGAAAAGATTCAAGAGCCCAGGTTACTGAGTCCGGGTCACTAAAGCAGGTGGTGTTACACTTCTTCTAGCTGTCTGCCTAATATAATTCATAGACGCATCCCTGTTTCAATATCCTGTACCCCTTCAGGATTCTGGGCATAAAGGAGTAAGAGAGATGCCTGACCTTCACTAGGGAAATCACTACGAAATATTTAGCTGTTCTTTCTCCAGCTTATTTTGTGTGGTGTGGAGGGAGGACTCCTAACAATGCCTACCTACCATAATGAGCCACTAGCTGTGCTTACTCTACTTCAGAGCATTTCTCCTCCCCACTGTCGAAGGTACTTAGTCTGAGAATGGCAGAAGACCTTGCTCTTGCTCTGCAAGCAATTCTCCTGTGGGGCAGGGGATGGAGGTGGGGCGGGGGGCAGGGGGAGGGAACAGAGACTACAGGGAATGTGGGAGGGTGTGTTGTTTGCAAAAGGTTATTCAATATTACTGTCACACATATTTTTATTTGAAAGATAAAACACACGTATTGCTTTAATAATATGAACTATTAAAGGTTTCAAAAATGGTCAGAGCCTATATAGATGGATAGAAAATAGATTCTATGATTCCAAATGAGAGAAAAGGCAGAGAATCTCACCATCAGCAAACAGGTATGTGAAATGTTTGTATTTATCAGAAGAGAATAAGATTTTATAAAGCTTAATAAATACCATCCTGATTCTAGCCATTAGTATTCAAATACAAAATGATAACCTACAAGGAAGGAAGGGGTCCTGCAAATCAGGGTCAAGATTTTGGCATTCCTCCTCTCAGTTCCCTGCATGACATCCCCTCTGCCGAGTTTTGAAAGAACCCCTTTACTCTGTTCCAGCCTCTAGGTCTTGCCCCATTTTCTTTTCCTCTCTGGACTCTCAGATACAAGTGTAGTGACTAAGTGACTCAAAGGTGCTCTTACCATTGTCCACCCCTGCTTTAGTTAAAGGAAGGGTTTCATGCAAAGAATACCTTCACAGGCAGACACTTTTCTGTTATCCTCCTCACAGGTAGAGAGCAGGCGGCTGAATTTTGATTTCTGCTCCAATCCCACCTGCTTTCCTTTCTCAGATGCTTCTGAATGGAAACTCTGGGACCGGGACACAGAAATCTCAAATTGTTTGATCACCTCTTCGTCACTATCAGAAGACGTGCATGGCTCCTCATCATCTCCAAAGCTGTTAACTGGGAGCAAACAAGAGCCATGAGTCTCATGTGGGGTTCACAAGAATACAGAGATATGTAATCCAGAGAAAGAACATGAGTGATTAGTCTGGATAAAGCAGGCCTAAACCAGACAGAAACATCTTAAAGCATTTTTTGAAACACAAATTTGAGTCTTAAGGAATAAAACAGGAAAAGAAAGTTTAGGTGGGCAAGTAGAAATATATGGCTAGAACCCAGGAGGAACCATCAGGAAGCCCCTAGATGACATAACAAGGCAGGGCCCTCTTGAGCAGGGCGTCCCTGCTGATTTGCTGTGTTGCTGACATGTGTTTATAACTGCGAACAGGACATTTGACTTACGTTCATCCTAGTCAATGATGACCGAAAATATGCTCTTAGCCTCATCTCTGTTATCAAAACACAAAGAGCCAAGCCCCACTCCAGAGAGGACATACTTGCAACTGAGATCTTCCAAAAGTGTGCTAGTTTTGAAGACACACCCATAGTAGTGTATGTTAAACAAAACAAAACAAAACAAAACTAGCTTATAAAATGCTGATGACTCTCAGCACCAACAACCCAACCCAAACACCCTTTGAATTATTTGTACCACTTTCCCCATATCAGCTCACTGGCCCTTTCATTTTCTCCAATAAGCCAAGATAGTTCTTCCCTTTCAGTTCTTTGCCCTTGTTCCATCCATCTGGAACCCTCCTGCCCCTGGTGTTTTCCTGGCTGGCTCCTCTCACCCCCTGAGGTGTCAGCTCCACTGTCACTTCATCCTAATTCCTAATCCCTTCCTTCTGGATTTGTTTTGCTCTTTTATGAAGCTGCTGATCCAAGAGCACAGCACTGTCAACTCACTCAATGCTGTTGGCTGTGACCAGTATCAGTAAGATCTAAAAAAACTAAATGTGAGAAGACACTAGATATCCTGCTAATACTAAAAAACAATCCCCATGGAAAACCATCATAAGAGGCAGCCTTCCCATGTCTTAATATGCTGTGCAAAGCACCTGTTGTGGGATAGACCATCACATATGGGAGAGGCCCAGAGACCAACGAAGCAAAATTTAACTCCCTTCACCATTAGTGCATAGGACCAGCTAAGCGCCTGGGAAATATGCATTGGAGGAAGCATTTGTTGGAGTTCTTTCTAAGTCTGAGATCCATTCCATTTGTATTATTAGGTCAGTTTTTAAAATGTAAGTAGCCATAGTCATCAATTTCAAATTGACAGAGTGGATATTTCCTCATCTATAAAATCGATAATTGGAATTCATTAATTTTTTTTTTTTTAGAATTCATTACTTTACATTATATGATCCTTGAAGTTTTGTTTCCCCAGTGAGTCATTGATCTTCCACAGAGGAAAGATTTCCATTTCACTAAACATAGACTATATTCCAGGCACCTTCTTGGACTTTACATATATTATCCCATGTAATCATCACATCAACACCATGAAGTAAGGATTATTATTATTCTCATCCTAGAGATGGAAATCAGAGGCACAGAAAAGTAACTTGCCCTAGGCAACAAAGTTAGCAAAGTAACAAAATGGGACTTGAACACAGACCCTACGTTTTTAGCCAATGTGTGTATCATCAGAAGTTATTGCATGAGGACACTAAAGCCATACCTAGTTTACTTTTCAGAGTGAGGTGAGGGCACTCTGCCACTTCCACCCTGAAATCTGCCAGGAGGTTCCTTCCTTTGTGAGAAGAGAAGAGAAGTCTGTCCATGTGGGAATGAATACATACAGGCAGGCTGCAGTATAACTGGCCTATTGCTCTCCATGGGATTATAAATAAAACTGCTTATACTATTCTAAGTCTCACTCTCCAAGGATCTCAGGGAATTCTCCATTCAAAAATGAAAACCGCCATCCTTCCTAAAAACCACTAAGCAGCAATGTAAGTAACTAGTGACACTATTACAAAAGCAATTCCATACACAGCACATATCATGAATACTGCAGGGGCTATTCTAGAACATTATATATTTTAATTTATTTACTCCTTAACTCTTTAGGTTATACTAAATAACCTAAAGAATAGCTACTTATCATTCCCATTCGTTGAATGGGAAAACGGAGACAAAGTCAGGTTCATGATTGGCCATTGTCGTACAGTTAGTAGATAGTGGAACCAAGATTCAAACCCAGGCTGTGTTGCTCCAAAGTCAGTGTAAATGAACATAATGCTCTCTCTACCATCTGCTGCCTCAAGAAAAAAAATTCTTAAATCCTAGTAAAAATCTACACAACTCTGTTTTATCACTAAGAACACAAAATCACATAGGTTGAGCTGGAACGAATTTTTATAAGCATATTTTTTAAAAGATTCTTGCTATTTGCCTTGTAATGAGTCAATGTCAACAACTAAATAGCTGATCTGGTTTGCATTCAACTTAAATTTTTGAAAATCACAAAGTTTCAATCTCAGTTGTGACACTTATTTCAGAGATAAGATAATACTTCCTAAAACACCATAGAAATATCTAGTTTAGACCCCTTTCAAGCTAAGTAACCTAGGAAATAGCACAGTGGGAATTTGTATTAAAATCTTCATCCAAAAAAAAAATCTTCATCCAATTAGTTTGCTAAAATAATAAGGAAAAATTGCACAATTACCATGGATGTGGATACATCTTAAAGTTGAGATTATTCATTTCACTCAAACACAGAATACAAAGGGATCATAGATAGCACTCAAATATCCACCACCAAAGAGAAGGCATATTCTTTTGCAACGTTTCTGATGCTTGGCCACCCAGCCTCATCCCTTTGTTCACACACAGTCAAGGTGCTACTGGGGGCTTCTTCCACTGGTAGAAAGTTCATGTCTCAGAAAGGTACAGAGAGCTGACTGACGACCCATCAATATTGAATCCTTACTACGATGGAGTCAGATTGTCCCTCCCTCTAACTTTTAATTATTTTTTTTTCTAGTTTAAGTAGCAAGGGGCAGAACAATGCCATCTTTATCTTTCACATTTAAGTAAAGAAGCTGGGGCCCCTGTGCCACAGAAACTGCCTGTCAAGTATAACATCAGTCAAGGTTAGGGTGGTTAAAAGAGTGTGGAATCTGGAGTCAAGATGCCTGAGTTTGAAATTGGTGTCTTCCATTTGCTAATTTGAGACCTAAGTAAGTTCCTATTCTTTCTGAACTTCAGTGTCCTTATTTTGTGATTTCTAACTTCCTAATGTTGAAAGAAGTGAAATAAATCAGGGCACCAGGGTGGCTTAGTGGGTTAAGCATCTGCCTTCAGCTTGAGTCATGATCCTAGGGTCCTAGGATAGAGCCACAAATCCTTACTTAGTGGGAATCCTGCTTCTCCCTCTACCCCTCCCCCTGCTTATACTTTCTCTCAAATAAATAAATAAAGTCTTTTAAAAATATAAATGGAATAAACTACTTAGCACATGCCTGGTACATGATATGCTAAAATATATTATTATTATTATTATTATTATTATTATTATTATTATCATCATCATCATCATCATCACCCATCATGGCAGTGCCCTGGGTGGAAACTCTTCTATGAAGCTTTGCAATCACTTGCAAAGGTAAGAATGTGCCTGTTCTTGCAGGGTCTCATTTGAAAACTCATCATCAGGGTTGTTGTAGGGGAAAAGTAGAAGAAACAAGGGCTGGGAGAGGAGAAGGATAAGGCAATAATGTGAATAATGTTACCTTCTTTACCTCACTATCTTTTTCCCCAAGCCTGGAGGTGGAGTGCTCTGTAAGAGCTGGCAATGCTGTCAGGATGTGGGCAGTGCCTAACACCTGCTCATTTTCTTGTTTCTTTTAAGGCAACAAAACCACCAACTGGTGATGCAAGGGAAGGATTTCTTAAGCCTGTCTGCCGCAATTTTACAGATGGAGTTTGAATTTACAAATGATCAGTGCAGCTCCAAGCTTATTAATTCATTCCCACCCACACAGGAGTAATTAGATGGAAGGAAGTCCTGCTCACATGGTATAGATGGGAAGTGGAGACAGGTGGGGGTGGGTGGTGCTCAGTGGTGCAGTACCTGGGTGCTACTTTTAGCTACAATTGCAGGAAATCCCTTATATATACTAGATTTCTCAAATACCCACAGCAAATGTCTGCCCAAAGTGGCTGGATAAGAATGGAAATAAGAACAAGAAGTTAGTTAATGTGATAAAGCAGAAGGGAGGTCATATGAGACAACTGCCCATTTCAGATCCTAAGAACATAACCCACATTTCTAGAGGTACGATCCAGCTAATATTGGATTCACACAGGAGAGAAAAATATTTTTATTTATTATTAAGCCTTAAGGGTTTTTTTTTTCAGACTATGTTCTGTGGAAGTCTAGGGCTCTACAAAGGAGCTTCAATGCCACTATACAAGTGGAGGTATGGGTGGTTGCACTGAGCAAGTTGGGTCATATACCCTCAAAGCTATTTTGCTCTAATATTATTTACATTTGTATGAGATTCTGTTGGGAAAAAAATTGGAACCCTGACACTTTTTAAAGGTTTGAAAAACATTAATTTAACCCAACTTCCTCATTCAACAGAATAGAAACTGGGTTTCAGGTTACGTAAGGGACTCACCCATAGTCAAATAGCTAATTGGCAGAAGAAGTACTAGCACCCAGTTCTTCTGTGCACACCTGTTTTGTCACCCTCCACCTTGTGTGAGAGATTTTGACAACTCCATTTTCTATTTGCACAGAGATGGCATTTGTAACAGTTAGACATGAGTGAGTCAAAAAGAAAATATTGTATTAAAACTAGTTACAGATCATTATACTAGGGAAAAGTTACAATATTGAAGGTCCCAGTTCTGACAACAGCAGAATAAGTGATTTGAACTCACCTACGAATTACAAATCCATGAAAAAAAAATTTAAGTCAACTATTTGAAGGCATAGAGAGTAAGCAAGAGCAGGACAATCTGGAGAGGACCCAATTTTTTTTTAATAAATTTATTTTTTATTGGTGTTCAATTTGTCAACATACAGAATAACACCCAGTGCT